GAACATAATGTACGGTGGCCGACCTACATGTTTGCCGACAACATGAGACCGTCGTGAGCCACTTCAGAATCTCGAAAAGACTGACACAATTTAGAGGAATACTGTCAGGGATTATGCTGATTTTCCCCCCCAATATTCTGTATCCTGTGAATAGCAATCGTACCCTGTCAGTAGCAAATAACAACTGAACTGCATGAAAAGCAACCTATTTGAAATCTATTGAAGCAATTCAAAACAATTTGTATTTAACTCTTTGAATCTATAACTCTGTTATAATCAGATGTTTGAAATCCAGGACAGTTAAATAGTTGATATTTCTCCTCTTTCAGATTGGTAGTTCCAACCCTGCACCGAACTCGGCCACAAACGGACCCGCCTCCCACCGACCATACACCCCAACATCCTCTAACAATCAGGTACGGACGGGTGACGGGGACGGGGACGGGCAGCCGCCTCTCCCTCACCGCTCCTCCTCCTCCCTATTCCCCGCGCTGAGGAGGCGAGCGTCAGAGCCGCTGCCTCACAGCCACAGGGAGCGTTACGCACAGAGGCCGGGGGAGACGCACGCCAGATACACATATGGGTTCAACCAGACGGAGAGGGAGAGGGAGAGGCAGAGCGGCTACAGGTTTGGGTTTGTCCTGAGGGATGCTGAGCACAGTGATGATGAAGGCGGGTGCGCGGAGAAAGAAAGGCCGGTTTCGGGTTACGAGTTTGGGTTCGTTTCTCACAGCAACACGATGAGCGGCTTCCACGCATGCACAGAGGGAAACTTGAACAGAGAGCGCTTCGATCGCAGACACACACGCAGTCGAACTCTCGTCGACATGCAGGGACACGCGACACCCGACAACTCGTACATCGACGCACGCAGCCGCGGGTCCAGACACGCACGCAGTCGCACGCTTGACGCCATCCACACGCAGGACAGGCGTCGGGGTAACGTATACGCAGAAAACATCCGAGCGATGGCGGGGCAGATGTACGGAGACCCGCCCTCACACGGCAGGATACACTCGCCCAGTCCCAACAGGAACACACACAGATCTGTGGACAGATACTTAGACGCACACACGCACAACTACGCACACAACCGGGCGCTAACCAGACAGCATCACCTCCAGTTTTCAGGTGGACGATGACAACATCTGGGTTTATATATAGTATGAATTAAGCTGCAGATAAGAGCTTTTTAAATCATGAAATGAAACAAGTCGGCATAAAATTCTAAACTCGAAGAAACGCACGAGTTAAAATATGTGCAAAAAGGTAATTTATGCAATTATATTTTGGGTTTCGTACTTTAAAAAAAACATATTTAGAGCATTATTTAGCTTGAGGGTAATTCCTACGACTCTATCTTAGATTGCATATCTGCAAAAAAGTTTAAAAGACTTACCATGTCGGTTATAGTCAAATGAAATAATGAAGAAAATGTTCCTTTTTCCTCCTCTGCACCAAAACCTCTAAGTGTTCATACAGAAAGTTTGAGTGATTGATAGAAAACAATTAATCGGGCTGAAAGCTTTGCCCTGCGCCACCATCACTAACTCACACCAAATGAACTTGTTAAAATATGACCCATAAACTAAAGTACTAAATTCTTCACTGCCTTCCTTCTGTCACATTTGTTTGAACTCACTAATTAGCTGCAGCGCTGATTTCTCTCTGAATATCTCCTACAATCAACGCTGGCTTTCCTGTTTTTTTTTTTTTTTTTTACTCTTGTTTGTAAAATGTTTTGTATATCTTTCCCTTTTTTTTTAATTTTCACGTGAATGTACACTTGCTTTTTTCTGCCTCACCTGCACTGTTCCTCCTCTGTTGAATAAAAACTCATCTGAAGCCTCCTGCATGCCTGTCTCTGTTTCTCTGTTGGGTTTTTTCAGCAATCTGCCTCCCTCTTTGCTGCTCTCCCCTTTTTTTTCTTAATTCACTGATATTTGAGTTCCTGCTCCTTCTGTTTGGCCTCATTTTCTTGTTTCCCTTCTCTTTAACCTTTGCTATTCACGCTAAGCTAAAAAGAAAGAGACAGAACACATTTAAAGGCACAGTTTGTAAATTCAGCCACATACGGCAACAGCTGTCAGAAGCAGCTCCCGCTCGCTTCCTTATACAGCGGTCTTTGACTTGACATCCGGTGTTCCCATGACAACAATAAACATATCGTGTGTGTCATGGTGGCTCTGTCATGGCGGCCGCCACGACAGACATGTCCTGTTACAGCTATAAAATTAGGGATTTCTGTTGTTACTTTTTCAATTGAATGCATTTTGACATAATTTAAGAGCACCGGTTAGATCATGCAGGTTTTTGAAAGACAGCTTTTCTTTAAGAATTTATTTCAGAGACAGGACAGCGGATAGAGTCAGAAATCAAGGAGGGAGAGAGAGAGTGGGGAGTGACATGCAGGACAGGAGCTGCAGGTCGGAACTTGAACCCGGGCGGTCCGTCTGGAGGGCTGTAGCCTCCGAACATGCAATGAAAGACATCATTTTCATAAATCATAAAAGTCTAAAATAGTGATCTAGTAACATCATCAAGTGAAACAGGAATAGAAGCATGAATAGCTGCCGGACCACAGAGCTTCACCTGAAGTTTTTACAGCATGAAAACAAAACAACATCATTTTTTCTGCCTTCATTGAGACCCTAAATAAGAGGAGAACTAAATCAGGGCCCAGGTTTGAAAATTGTGACACATACAAATGATCACATATGATTAAAGGGTTAAAAATACATGACTGCATTTTTGTACCTCCTCCTTTCTGTGTGTCTTTTTTTTTTTAAAAATCAGCTCAGCATTAACATGCACAGACGCTCCTCTCTCTGCAGCTACGACTTCTTTTAATCTCAGGTGCTGAAGGTGTGAGCAAAATTAGAATCAATCGCAAAGTCACGCAAGGACTCGTGTTCGACAAAAGCTCGGAAAGCGACGCGAGTGTCTGGATGAACTGACTGATGAAGACATCAAACGTGACAGATGGTTAAAAAAAAAGAAGTTAGTTAGTTAAAGCTGTGTATTCAGTTCAATGACGGACCGTGACTGACACTGAGCTGATGCTTAGTCATAGTTTGTGTGTGTGTGTCACTATCATTGACCTGCCCTTTGTGGCATTTACATCTCATCTATGCTGTATTCCCTTTAGTGTGTGTCTGTGTGTGTGTGTGTGTGTGTGTGTGTGTGTGTGTGTGTGTGTTTTAGGTATCCAAGCCTGCAGATAAATCCTATCAAAGCGAGTTCAAAGTTCACGTCATATCTGCATAGTCTCCTTCTGTCATCACCAACCAGACAGAGCCGCAGGGCAGCTTAATAAAACTCCCCGAGCCCCCTCATAGACCGCCACACTATGCAAACCTATTCGGCGTATTTTACAGTCGGTCAAGTTCAACCCACAATGCACTGCTTTTCGGTTCTCTTCCCCTGTTTGGTTGGCGTTTGATCACCCACAGCGATCAAACTCTGCCGCACTGGAATGGAACGGAGACCCCCCGTTTTCAAGCAGACCAGAGTCAGGTTCTTTGGTCCGCACCAGAGTTCAGAGTTCACACCGTTTTAAACCGACCTAACATCTCAGCTACCACCATTGACTTCTGTTTTTTGACATTATTCACGCTGAACATCTACATGTTGGCCTCCACATTGGGGCGCATCACAGCACGTCATGTTAACTCACATTCAGCCTCACGGAGCTGCAAACAAGGCTGTAGATTTAAAAAAAACTCCCGAGAAGGTTTGGCGCTGCCCTCGCCGACGCTTTATCTGACGATTCGCAATAGGTGCGTCTGAATCCCGCTTTTGAGTGTTTGTTTGTTCGCAGGGATTAGCATCTGGACTGGGAACATTTCCATCAAATCAACCAGTTGGATTTGGTTTTCTATTAAATGGCGAAGCAGCAAATTTGTGATTTGATCCCGCATGTGTGATGGAGAGTCACATTTTAATTCCAGCAAACGTTGATGACAATTTAAAAAAAAAAAAAAAAAATGTCAGAAGGAGATTGGATGACAACAGCTTGTGCTCTTTTTGTCGTTCTCACTCGGCTCTACTGGAAGATTTTGGACTTTCAAATATGTAATAAAAGAAAAGATCGCTTCCTATGAAACATGTTTACTTTAGTGTCTGTAGCTCCTTTTCCTCCAGGTCGGACAAACAGGCCCGACAGGTCACAGACAAACCAGTAAGGCTCCTAACACAGTGTAGAAAATATTCTCTCTCCTTCCATCCTGAGCCGTTGCGATATGTGGGTTGCGTTTGGGTGACACAGAAAGGGTGAGGCAATACTAAGCCTCTCAGCAGCCTATTGTATGCAGCTGTAGGTTGGGGGCTGGCTGGATAGATGGATCCCCCCCCCCCTCCCCCTCCCTCCCTGTTTACTTATTGTTGTGGGATTAAGATATCTGACTGCCTGTCTGCCAGGCTGCTTGAAAAGCCCGAGGCGAGTCGTCGGTTAGTGCAGGATGGAGGGATGGATGAAGGGGCGGATGGAGGGACGTGATGTGATTTATACGTCTTGCACATAAATCAGAAGAGCTGTCAGAGGTTTGCGCGCACAGGCATACGCTGCACATGCATGAGCTGCGAGTGATTGACAGCTACGATGTGGAGACGTATTAACATGTATGGTAGGTGCTAATGATACCCCGGGGACTCCATGACATTGTGAGCACACCCCGCCCAGAGCTTTGATATGACGGAGATATTAAAACACCTTTCATTGTTGTACAGAGGATTATTATTTGTGTGTGTGTGTGTGACAGCTGTAGCTTCCCGTCTCTTTGACCACGCTGAAGAAGCTCCTTTCATCCTCCACCAGCACTTCCAGTCCCTGTCTCCATCAGCTGGGTGGGGGTCCTTTGTAGTGCTGGACGGCCCGGTCGATAACATGCCAGTCAGGGCTTTCAGGATTATCTTAATTACCGTGTTTCCATTTGTGCACACAAAGAGAAATCGCCATGTTTCCTGAAGTGACAGAGCGTTGAAAGGACCGTACATGTTTGTTATTTTGGTGGAGTTTATAAAATGATCAGCTTGATTTATGGCAAAAATAGGATTTGTGATATGACATCATCAGTTTTTCTGCTTTTTAAAACAGACACAGAATCTCTCTCTCTCTCTCTCTCCCTCGTCTGTCTGTCTGTCTCTCTCTCTCCCCTCGTCTGTCTGTCTCTCTCTCTCTCTCTCTCCCCTCGTCTGTCTGTCTCTCTCGCTCTCTCTCTCTCTCTCCCTCATCTGTCTGTCTCTCTCTCTCTCTCTCCTCGTCTGTCTGTCTGTCTCTCTCTCTCTCCTCGTCTGTCTGTCTCTCTCTCTCTCTCTCCTCTCGTCTGTCTGTCTCTCTCTCTCTCCTCTCGTCTGTCTGTCTCTCTCTCTCTCCTCTCGTCTGTCTGTCTCTCTCTCTCTCCTCTCGTCTGTCTGTCTGTCTCTCTCTCCTCTCGTCTGTCTGTCTCTCTCTCTCTCTTCGTCTGTCTGTCTCTCTCTCCTCTCTCTCTCCCTCTCTGTCTGTCTCTCTCTCTCTCTCCCCTCGTCTGTCTGTCTCTCTGTCTGTCTCTCTCCCCTTGTCTGTCTGTCTCTCTCCCTCTCTCTCTCCCCTCGTCTGTCTGTCTCTCTCTCTCTCTCCCCTCATCATGTCTCAATCTGTCTCTCTCTCTCTCTCCCCTTGTCTTCTCTCTCTCTCTCTCCCCTCGTCTGTCTGTCTCTCTCTCTCCCCTCGTCTGTCTGTCTCTCTGTCTGTTTCTCTCCCCTCGTCTGTCTGTCTGTCTCTCTCTCCCCTCATCATGTCTCAATCTGTCTCTCTCTCCCTCCCCTTGTCTTCTGTCTCTCTCTCTCTCTCCCCTCGTTGTCGTGTCTCTCTCTCCGTCTCTCACCTCTTGCTCTCTCTTTTTACATCATGTATTTATTTCCTATACAAAGTTATAATACATCACAATAAAGCACACAGTCACATGAATTTCTTTGTTTTCTCTTTCTACTCGATCTTTGGCCTTTTTATTCATTCTACATGTGAATGAACGCACTCACTGTCCAACTGAAAGAGCGCAGAAGAACATGCATACAGGAAGATCGCACCGGTCACAGGATACAAACGTCACCCCCCCCCCCCCCACCCGCCCTCTCGCTCGTTGTCCTGAATATTACCTGCAGCGACTTCACACAGCAAGTGAACAGGGGTGGCTCGGGAATCTGTCAGGAAATCTTCAGAAGTTTTGTACACGTGTGAAAACAGTGTGTCATCAGCGTGTACATGCATGACCGTGTGAACGCGACACGTCGTGTGAAATCTCTTCCAGTGGTCAGAAGACTAGAAAAGTGCCACCTGAGAATATTCAGCAGTCATCACGATAAACAGTTTTCTCTGTTTTCAGCCTCACCGATAAGCAAAAGAAACTGTTTCTGCCTGAGTTGCTGACAAATTTCTCTCCCAATAACGATCAACCTGCCGTCTTTGTGAGATGTTGTTCATCGCCCTCGCTGTCTGCACGTCGAGTAAAATCCCTCCGAGGATTGTTCTAAATCTGCTCCTCTCTGTTCTCACGTCACCATCTGAGGAGAATCCTAATTGATTGGTTACAAATTTGACTCTGCGACTACAAAACTGATGTTAAATTTTGTAAATCCTGCTTGTTTAGTCGAGTCGATGTGCGTTTGAATAAAGTGCGAGCGCTCCTCCTGCAAGACGTGTCGAGATTTACCTTGAAAGCTGATCTTTCCGTGAAAGCAGCAAGATAGAATAAATAAACGGATAACGACTCTCTTGATCCTCGCTGAAGAGAAGGACGTTTTTTAAGACCTGACCTGATGAGGGTTAAAAAGGCTTGTGTGAAAGCTGTCAATCAAACCCGTATGCAGACTCAGCAACTTCTCTGTGTCCTCCGAAAAGGTGAAGTTTGTTTAGCGCTGTCGATCCATTAAAGAAAGGAATCTATTTAACTTCAGGCTTTATTAGAATCGCACATGTTAATAACATGAGGAGGATGACATCACAGTTACTACACAACCCTGTTTCTACTTTTGCGGTCGCTAGCTTCCACATTTTAAATGAAGATGATATGTTTTGATAGATTGGGTGGGCCCGTTGCCAAAAAACCAAATCTGGACATCAGAACATATTAGCTGTGATGAGTGCAGCAACACGTTCCCATGACGCTATTCCTCCTCCACACTGTAAAAGGTCAACCTGTTGTCAAAGCGCTGACCAAGTTCTTTTCGACCTTTGGGTTACTGAAAACCGCCCAAACAGACAAAAGTTACCAATTTAATGTCTAAAATATTCTCACAGGTTACAGCAGAGATTAAAAAAAAAAAAAAAAGTCATGAGGATCTTGAGGAAAGATTCCACCAAACCCTTAAATCTAAGTTGATTAAATTCAGTTTGGAGTCCAATCTTCTCTTATGCAGACCTCAGTTCTGCAGCATCAAGTCTGCCATTACAGCCGTCAATATCCTACCTTCTGAGAGCTCAGAGCTGACGATTCTGAAAACAGATTTGATCCCTTAAAGGTCACGTCGAGTTCAGGCCACAACTTCTCCTTCAATTTAAGTTTTTTTAATTGATCTCTCAGTGTTTCAGAAACCCCGATTTAACCAGGAAAAGGGGTGTGAGCACATGAGCCCTTCAGAAAGCAGCAGAAGGCACATGTGTGTTAAACAACGTGCATAGAGAGGACGTTAACCCGATCCTTCTGGGGGATAAAAGAACTGCCTCTAATCTTTCTCGTTTTTTGTTGGCGCTTTCATTTTTCATAAATGAGATCTTTGACTTGGATTTGGTCCAGGTCTTTAAAATCTCTTTCTTCGTCGACAGGAGCCTTGGGGCTACAACGCCTACCAGGGATCCCCAGGACCCTCCAGACCCCCGACAGCAGAGCTCGCCACGAACGGCCCGAGTCCCACTCCACCGCCGAGCATCAACTACACGTACGGAGACGCAGGAAGTGGTGAGCAAACACTCGACGAAAAAAAAAATCAAAAAAAAAAAATCACTCCGGGCACAAAATATTTGTCCATTTGAACTGCGGGATAGTCAACATGACGGCTCGGAGTGTTTGTGTACCCGCCTTATCTGCGCCTGAGTGTGTGCACACAGTTTGTTTGTCAGCCTGTGTGTGTGTGTGTGTGTGTGTGTGTGTGTGTTGTGTGTGTGTGTGTGTGTGTGTGTGTCCATACATGTGTGTTCACCATGACGCTCAGCCAACGCTCATGACATTGTCAGAACACTCCACTCAAAGCATCTCTACAGCTCGCCGTTACAAACTCTGTCTTTATACCTCGTCTCACTCTCACCCCTGCATATTTATAGCAGCTAGAAAGGGAAGTCATTAAATGTGTTTTTTTTTTTTTTTATATATATATATGCGAACGCGGCGCTTGCTTTTTCATGTGCTAAAGATCTGACCTTGGAATCATTACGCTGATGAAACAGCTTCTAAGTGGGCCAGATTTGCATACAGGGTATTGTGCTGCACGCCGTGTTAAGGAGAAGAAAAAAAGACGAACAAACTGCTTTAAATTCATTCTTTATCTCTCTCTCTCTCGTCTCCCCCTCCTCCCTCACCCACTGGGATACAGGGATGCTTGTCTTTCTTCCTCAGACTCTGTCAGCTCTCCATCAGGCTGCAGCAGCCGTACAGTAACAGTCATTTAAACGGGGGGGGGGGGGATTTAAACACAAAGGCTTTACAGTGGGGAAATGATGCGCTCCCGAGGTTTACTCTTTATGGAAATGTTGCAGGAAGTTGTGAGGAAGTTAAAAGTAGGCTTTTGTATGGAAATGATTATTTGTGTGTGTGGGGGATTTGTTTGGATGTGCATTGTGCATTGTGTGTTTTGTGTGTGTGTGTGTGTGTGGGTGTGTGTGCGGTTTCTCTGCACAGTTTTCTTTCTCAATGTTTGACCTCGCTCAGCTCTCTGTTGACAGAACTCGTCCTCATGTGAGCGTATTTAAACATCCTGTTATTGCAGAGTTTGTCCCGACCACAACGAGCTGATAATGTTTAGATTCAGAAAACAAGATAGATATTCAGCATAGGATGAAAATGTGTATTTAACTTGTATCGCCTCTGTCGACAATTATAGTGAATTTTAAGCTATATTTTTAGCCTTTATTTGGATAGGACAGTGGATGAAGGAGAAAATCAGAGAGAGAGAGAGAGAGAGAGAGAGAGAGAGAGAGGGGGATGACAGTGACACAGGTCGGACTCAAACCTGGGCTGCCTGCCTGGAGGACTGTAGTCTCTGTACACGGGGTGCGCCCCAGCACCTTTCCTTTGAACATTGTCACTGTCAAGAGCAAGCTTTTTGAAGCTTTGAGTTTGATATTTAGGATGCTACACACTGTTTCACTAAATCAACATCATGGGTTATTTAAGAAGGCTTCAAATACATCTAACCCTTTAGCTTTTCTCCACAACGTCCCATCAGAGAGCTCTGTGTGATTCTTGTTCCGTGCAAATATCTGAGTCCGTGGGATGCTCAAGAGTCCCACTTTCAGGACCCGGAGCACGACTACGCTCCTCAGATTGGAGGCTGCATCTAATTCTTTTACGCTGTCTCTGAATCTCACTAAACGAACAAGAAAACAATCACCTTTATCTGTTTTTCCAAGTTGGCTTTGTTTTCCAAATCAATAGTTTTCTGTTGTGTGTGGTTTTTTGGTTTTTTTTTTTCCTTCAGCTGGGTATCCCGCTGCGACCACCAACGGCGGCTACAGTCACTACGGCAACGATGATGAGGAGCTGGAGCAGAGCTTCCCTCCGCCTCCCTCCCCAGGCACCGTGGAGGAAATGAATAGAGACTTTCCAAGAACTCCCCCACAGCACAGGTACCCCCCCCCTCCTCCCCCTCATAACATATACACATACACACACAGCATCATACGCACGCTAAGAAACTCCACTCAGAGTTATTGTTCTCTAATGACACTTAATATGAGCCGCTGTGTTATGAGATAAAGCAGAGCCATTACAGTAAATATTGCAATACATTATTTAGACTATATACGCTCTAATTGCTGCGGCCTATTTGCATTATGCATAAGTAATTACGGTGATCGCATTATGGAGTCAGTTCTTTCAGAGTTCCCAGGCTCATAAAGAGCTCTGATTCTGAGTTATTATCCCGCAAGGTCAGCGGGCGGCCACAGCAGAGACAGTGTCATGTAGATTAAGAGTCACTTCATGTACGCTTCACTAGAAAATGTACCTTTTTTTTTTTTAATAAAACACAATGTCCATCAAGCTTTTTCAAAAAGTTTTCCTGAAATACATCGATTACCTTTAGGACTCTTGTTTTTTTTGATGTGAACAAAACATGAATTAAAAAAAAAATGAAGCCTCATCTTTGATTTACGGGGAAGAAATGCCAAAAAGTTGTGAAATTTAGCAATGAATATGTTTTTGCATAACGGGCAGCTGTTAAAGCCTGGCACACTGTAAAAACCTCCTTCTAAAAAATTGCATTTTACACAAAACAATCAATAAAACAGACAGCACTCAGTGAAGCACTTCTGTGATTATTTCTCTTTTTTCATGAGACTGTTCAAATGCTTAACTCGGTCCTAATCGCCTTCTTGTAGCTACCATCCTGTCGCCCTCTCTTCACCTCGTCTATGTCTTTTCTGAGTTTCTCTCTTAACTGAACCAGGTTGGTATTGGCGTTTACAGTAAATCATGTGGTCAGAATCAAAGAATCGGGCATCACTATAATTGTTTCCTCGTCGGTTTTACGGAGACAAAACGAGCCTTTGTTTTACCGAGTTACGCCATCTGGAGTGGAGGAAATGAAATGATGTGTTGTCTGTGGGTGATTTTCAAATTGAGATTTTTCTCGTTCGGGTGATGCAACCAGCCAGTCAGGAAAGAGCCGTTCTGTTCTTGACTGCACAAAAAAGGACATATTGATCGTTGCCTGATTGATTGATTGATACAAAGTAATCCTGACTTTGTTTTTTGATCGTTTGCAGCGAGTTCCAGAAGCCGCAGCACACGAGTACAGCTTTCTATTCAGAGAGGGACAATGTGCCGCGCAACAGGGCGTCCAAGAGCATGGACCTGGGTGAGTGTACGCGCGCGCGCGCACACACACACACACACACACACACACACACTCCTTCAGGAATGAAAGAAGCTGTTGTCTCCTCCAGTAGAAAAACGTTAAACCCCACATTGTTGTCTCAGCCATCACAAAAACAGCCAACATACGTGTCTAATCATGGACCTAGACTACACACACACACACACACACACACACACACACACACACACACACACAGATACACAGCAGTGATCACATGCCTCTTATCAGGACATTTCTGTGTTGTGATATGTAGCCCCCCTCCTATTATCCCCGGCCCTGAGGGGATACGACCTCCTGAACTCATAAACCCAGGGGCTTTCTGAGCAACTGCATGAACACGCTTGTGTGTGTGTGTGTGTGTGTGTGTGTGTGTGTGTGTCTGCTCGAATGAAAGGCATGAGGTTTCCAATCTCGCTGCTTGCTGTGTGTGTGTGTGTGTGAGCCAAGAAAGAAAGGGCCTATTTCCTCTAAATTAACCCGAGCCGACCTTTTTCTGTCTCTCTCAAATCTTTCTTTATCTTTTATTTTAGATTTTTCTGATATTGTTCTCAATTTTGTTCCCATTTTTTTTCCCGTCTTTTTTTTTTGTTTTTGTTTTTTTTTATTTGTTTTTTTACGTTTTAGCATTTCCTCCACCTTTTTTTCTTACCCAGCTTTTTTCGTCGTTCTCCAACAAAAGCTGTTGAGTTAACCGCTCTCCCCTCTCTTCTCTCTCCGCGTCTCTTTCTTCTCTGCCTCTCTGTGATTTCCAATCGCAGGTTCATTATGTTCAGAGTATTGGCTTTCCTCCTGAAGCACACGCCGCTGCCACCCAAGCTGATTGGCTTTCATTACGGACAAGGGTGGTCTGCGGACACAAACACACACACACACACGCTCTCTCTCTCTCTCTCTCTCTCTCTCTCTCGGCTGTATCCCACTGAGGACCCACTCCAATACCCAGCGTTATCTGTCCTCCCCTCTCTGGCTTCTATCTCCATCTCTGGCCCTCGCCTGTTTCAATCTGTTCCCGTGTTATCTCTCTGCTTCCATTCATCCCTTCCTTCTGTAAAGGCTGAGAAAAGGTAGTTAGCAAAGCTGTGTAAACATGGCAAGACCTCAGATACGACCAAAGGCTTCTTTTCTTTTTTTCTTCCCCCCCCTCTGGAGAGCCTCGACGTGTCTGTACGCTCACACGTAGCTGAGCTTTAGCCGCATCACTCCAGACAGGTTAGCTTTTATTAAACAGTGCTTGACAGGAAGAGGTGAGCTTCTTTTATTGACCCGGAACGCCTCGGCAAATAGTCTGTTGACTCAGAGATCCCACTCAGGCACAGAAATCCTCTCTCACACACACACACACACACACACTGTCTGCCTGCACTCACATGAATAAAGCCAGCGACACTACAGCTGCGCTTAACTTTCACCAAAGTGGAAAAAAAAAAAGGGGTTTGATGCAAAGAATCCAAGAAGTCACACAAGAAAGAAAAGTTTCTGCTCTCATTTGCATTCTCCTGCAACTGGAAGGTAACTTTAACGAAAGCAAAAAATAAAAAAATAAAACACTCGAGCACAGACACATAGACGACTTATTCAGCTGAGGCTTTCCAGTCTCAGCTGGAACATCTTTCCCATTGAAAAAGCAATAATGGAAACTAATGCCTTTAGGCTAAAAAGCAGTGGTCTGCTTTGGAAAATGTTGCTATGGATTGATTTTGAGGAGCTTTAAGTGCATTCAAAACATCAGACCTTTTAGGAGGCTGTGGCTACACTTTGCCGTCATGTTTATTTTTAATGTACAATGATGCAGGTTCAGTAGAAACACAAAGTCATTTGACTATTTATCTGATTCTGACTCCACATAAGTGCAGCCATCGACCACACGCACGGCTAGAAGCAAAGCAGAACGTCAGCGCTTTATACGCATTGGAGGTAGCTGCTATGGTTGTACCATACTTCCAAAGTTTGGGGTGAAAACAGGTATTGTTCAGAGCTCTACTCTACAGTAATCAGGCACACACATATTTATGACAACAGCAAACACCTTCCTGTGCGTCCAAAGAGACTTTCCACTCTTTGTAGCCTTTCCTCTGTGACTGCAGGAGACAAATATGGCTGCCGGCACATCCAGATTTGTATCTTTCCTCCACAGAAAAGGAAGCCTTTTCGTTATCCACCAGGGTCACATCGCCTGGAAACACTATTTCCCAAACTTTGAACGTATTGGATTTTTTTATTTTATCTGGCCCTTGAGCACGACAACGTTCCGTCTGCGTCTTTGTTGTGGCGGCCGCAGATGTTTCTATGAAGCAGCCTCTTTTTGATTTCAGCTTCACTCTCACTGATTGTGTTTTTTTATTTCCAACCTCTGTGGTTTTTTTTTTTGGTTTTTTTGTCACGCCCTATCACCTTGCATCTCTCTCCCTCTCTCTCTCCCGGCTCCCCCTCCCTCCTCTTCATCACTTTCTCACTCTCCTCTCCTCCGATATTCTCCCGTCCTCTCATTTTCTCTCCTCCTCGCCCATCTGTCCGCCGGGAAAATTGACCTCATAAAAAATGAAAAGGATTATTTAAGAGAAATAGCAGAGTAATGAAAACCCATTATTGTATCCCATGGTGCACCGCCTGTGGAGTCTGCTGCAGTCCTGTTTAGTTAGATTAGGTGCCGGTGGGTGGGGTGTTGTTTTTTTCCCGCTCCCTTTATTATTTCTCTCATTGTCTCACCTCTATCTGTTGTTGTCTTTTTTTTTTTCTCCCTCGCAATCTTCGGTTTCTCGTATTTCGGCTTCTTTTTCATTTCCTCTCTCCGTCTGTCTCATTTTGTCCTCCTGCGTCTGATCCTCCAGCAGGGACTCGTTTCCACCACGTGCCAGCACCAGAGGAAACCTTTGGAACAGTTTACTGCTTTGTGATTCAGTATGTCCGCCATGTAAAACAAGCCCCAACTCGCCCAAATAACTGAGGAGGGTCAGTGGCTCTATGATCCAGAAAACGACGACCTCGTCACCTTTCAGGCTTCACTGATAAACTCAGAAACCGATATAGTCTGTTCATTTCTCTGCAGATGTGTTCATAAAGGTTTCTCATAAAGGTTTTTGTAGTTTTAGACTTTAAACTAAAACAGCTTTAGACTGCTAAACGCTACGAGATGGTCGTAGTTTAGGTGTGTTTAAGCACCAAGATGGCACCATGAGGTTCAGAGAAAACACCAGCTGTCGTTTCCTGACTGACGTGTAGTTTTCTGGGAGTTTGTTCCAGATATACAGAGCGTAGAAACTGACTCTGGGGACAGAGAGCAGACCTGTCCCAGACAACCGGTGCGGTCTAAGTCGCTCAAACCAGCAGCGGTGTTTTAAAATCTATTCTCTGGCAGACTGGGAGCCAGAGTAAAGACCTCAGAACTGCACTGATGTGATCCACTTTCTCGGTCTTGTGGGTTAAGAAACGTAAAAAGCAAAGTTAACATCCTCATCACAGAAAAGGAACCGCAGACTCCTGGAAAGTTACTAGTTTGACCCCTCCACCCTAAGCTAACATTAGCGCCCTCCTCTGACCTCAAGGTAACATTGAGTAAATCAGCTAGAAGACAGAATGACTTTATTTTGAGGCGTTTGGGTCACTGACCCAGCTCCTGCATTTGCGAGTTGGGAGTGAGAACAGGCCGAGTATTTTTTCTTCCGACTTCTTTCCAACATGTCTTCTGTGTGTTTTGTGTTCTAGTGGCCGATGAGAGCAACATGGGATCACTGGATGGGCCGAGGAACGGTGAGTGTCACACACGATCAGAGACTTCGACTTAGTGCTCGACATCTCTTCTTTTCTTCTCGTCTCACTCAGTGTAACACTAAAAAAAAAAAAAAAAAAAAAAATCTTTCCACACACACACAGAGATAAATGAACCTGCTCTGTGCAGATTCTCATTTTCTCTTCTTCCTTCTAATCTATTCTCCAACATTTATTTATTCCGCTTCCTCCCTCCTCCTTCGGCTCCCCGGCTGACAAAGTTGAGTTGTGAAGCACTTAGTGTCTGAGCTCTGGCTGCTTTATAGTCGTGCAGGTCAGCAGGCACACGGTGCTCAATCCTCGCCCAGCTGACAGCAGCCGCATTGCATTACAATGACTCGTGAATGGGTTATTCCTCTGCACTCGCTTCAGCCTGGTTTTATTTGACTAAAGTCCGTTTTACTGTTCTCTATTACTGAGTGAGATTTCACACTAGTGGTTCAAACAGCAATACATCTTCTTTACGTTCAAGAATCTGAGCTTTGAAATGCAGAAACAACTGTGAAAGAACCAACCCCCGACAATAAATCTTTTTGCAGTTTAAATTAAAGTCCTGCAGGCGATCTGACCCACTCCAAACTATTGACATTACCATGCAGCACATGAGGGCAGACGGGGCTGCACAGTTCCTTCCGCTGAGCCCGATGTAACCGCTGCAGGATTGTGTCAGAAGCGTGCAGTCTGTGTTGGGTCGGTCTGTGTGCATCTCGAGTATGAATGTAAATCAGAGGGAGCACGTCAGAGAGCGCGCTCATGTGACCACCAGCAGCTGCAGGAGTCATGGGTCGAACAGCAGAGGAGGTACATTGCATAGTATTTACAACGCCATGACAACAAGGCTGAGAGAATCATGACCAGCATTTTTGGTTCGAATGTAAGGAGACAGGCTCGGCTTCCTTTCTACACACACACACACGCACACGCACACACGCACACACACACACGTACAACGGTCTCTTAAATCCACCTGAAACAGCCAACTGAGCCTGTTGCCGCTGGAATACAAATGTCCATCGCACCGTTTTGCTGACCTCAAATCCCCCACACTCAGCATTCCCACAAGTGTCTCTCCTCCTCTTCCTCACCCTCTTCCTCTTCCTACTCCTCCTCCTCCTCCTCCCTTCTGCCTCCTTCTCTTCCTCTTTCTCCTCCTCCTCCTCCTCCTCCTCCTCCTGCTGATGATTTTCCTGGAATTTCTGATCAGCCCCTATAACTCTTTACGGCCCATGACAAATGAAGCGATCCATTTCTCCACTGTGCTGCGGCAGTCCCCTTCTTCTTCTTCTTCTTCGGTCCTCTCCTGTTGACGTCTCGGCTAATGCGTATTGACAGGGCTTTTGCGTGTTTTTCATTTTTGCTGACGCAGTGTATTTGCAGAGCTTCCTGCACACACACACACACACACACACACACACACACACACACACACACACACACACACACACACACACGCTCCCTCCCCTCCTAAATGGCCTCAGTGTTTCTTTATGGGCTTTGACATATTTCATTAGGCGGATGGTCTTAAGAGGGCCTGCCTGGCTTCTTTAATCTGGCTAAAACCCTTTTTCTCTCTGGCTAGAGCTGCTCTCTCTCTCTCTCCCTCTCTCTCTCTCTCTCTCTCTCGCCACCCTTTCTCTCCGTCACTTACTCTCCTTCTCTCTACACTCCAGTCTCCATCTTCAATAGAGCTTTTAGTTTTTTTTCCCCCCCCTCTTTTCGCTTTCATCTTCTCTACCGCTCTTCCCAATCGTTTCTGTCTTGATTATTCTCCGTCTCCCGCTCTTTGTCGCCATCCCCATTTTTAGCATCCTCTCAATCCCCGAACCGTCATCTCTCTTTCTTCTCTTCCTCTTTTTGATCACTTTTTATTCTCTCTTTCTCCCAACAGGCTGAGCCTTTTTGTTCACTCTCTCTCCCCCTCTCTTTTCCTCTTCTTTTTTTCCCCCTCTCTCTCTCTCCATCCTCTGCAGCTGTATCTGTTCCAGCTTCATGTGATTATGGTGAACATGTTCCAAGTCTCGGAGTTTCCTCTCCCCAAGTCAGACCCGACCCCAGCCTCTGCAAGACTCTTTCTAAAAAGTGTTTGCCTCCTTGTGTGTGAACACCCCGCAGACAGCCAGAAGAGTAATGGAGAGATATCCCTTCATTCATCTCTCCATTTCTCTCTCTTAGAGTCTCACATCTCCCCTGGCAGAAGGCTGCCCTCTCGACAGCACACCTGGGAGCTCATCCAGCGCACGCACACACACACACACACACACACACACACAAACACACACTTCTGCTGCAGTACTGCAGGCTCATGCTCATTCTTTAACGCTTGCTGTGTTTTTTCAGCAGTCATTTTCAGACTGTTGTCGGCGCTAACCCGGCTAACAGCTAACCCTGCAGCATCACTCTGTGCGCCCATTAGCTGACGTTGTTTCTTCCCCGCACAATAAGCTTTAAATCCAGCAGGCACCCCGCCAGCGCCGGAGCTTCTGCTTTGTTTTCGCACTCTTTTGTTTGGGTGCTGCGTAACTCTGCCTCTCGCTGTCATTCGCTCACCCTCCCTCTCTCTCTATTTTCCCTCCCCTCCCTCTGTTCTTTGCATCTGGCTTGCAGTTCTTGATTTCGACTTGAACGTCACCATGTTGTGTTGACATATCACTCAGTCTGTTTTCTTCTCGTGTATCTGTCCTGGTAGCGGCCAATTTAGCTTGAATTGATGAATACAAGAATGCAAACGCTCTCTGTACTGAACAGTTTAAGAACTAGTGACATATTTAACCAAAAATCTGACTTGACTATTGGCATGAGCTAATTTAGTATTGGGCCTGTCAATAAGCGAGTAGGTACCATGGCGGTGCGAATGCAGGCCGAGAAAAAAGTCACACCCGGTATGCATATGGATCTTGTGTATGTTGCTAAAGTTCACTCCTGGAATTACAATCAGTCTCCCCACATGTGTCTCAAGTGACCTCTTGAGGTTAGATCTCATCCCCCCGCTCTTTATGCAAATCAACACAAACATGCTCGTCTTTCATTAAAGCCGTCGATTGAAAACGGGCGATGTCGATCGCAAAAGAAAGTGAGAGAAAAGGGGGAGGGAGGGAGCGAGGGGGAAGCGTTGATGCGATATGGGAAATGTTATCGATCAGGAGGTCCCTGTGGTTTAATCTGTGAAGCGTTCCAGCAACACTGCCGACGAGCGTGTGTGAATGATGACAAACGGATAAGTAGATTTATGATTTGAAACATCATGCATCCTCACTGCACTGCATTGTGGGTCACATTCACGTACATACGGCTAACAAAATCCGGCCCAAGAACACCTCAAAATGTGGTTCGTGGAATCAGCTCTGAATGCATCCTCAATGCCTACTTCCTTTAGTGACTTTTCCTACTTCCTTTACCCACAGCTGTCGACTTGTGGTCTGTGATTGGTTCGGGGGGTAAATCTGCATACTGACGCGTCTCAAGGCCGATGTCATGACAGGCCAGTTAGCCTGACACGGATGTCGTGTAGCGTCTGATTGGTGCATTAGCTCGAGCTGGATGGCTGGCTAATGATGCTATATGCAGGTACGCGCAGGTTTGTTCTCCCTCGATGCACAAGCGCCTCTATCCTCCATGCGTTAACAAATGGCACGTGTCCCACTCCTCACAGCTCGCTCCAACCCTCATCCATACCCTGCCAACCCCCCGCACTGCTGTAATCCAGCAGAGGTAAGCAGTAATTATGAAATGGCCTTTTAAGTCCCCTCCAGTTATTAAAGCCATTCATCTAGTTGGAGGCTCAAT